AAGGAAACTGCTTTGTATCACATGTTTAGGCCTCATTCGGTTTGGAGGATTTTCGTAGGAAAAACATAGGAATAAGGATTCCAGAGGAAAATTTCCTATGTATGCATTCGGTTCGTAGGAAATGCGTGCAGGAATTTCGTAGGAATACTACTCATTTCTCATGTTTTTGGAGGAAACTACACATCCACTCAAAGCTCATTTTACGCGTAGGAACGAGGCAAGTCAATTCCTTAGGATGGCAAGTGCCATCCTATCATATTCCTATACTACTCCTAATTCCTACGTTTTGATTTCCTCCAAACCGAATGAGCCCTTAGGAGAGAGAGGGGAGTTTTCTTCAATAAGTCTCATCTTCTTGGGCCATGTACCATGATGCCTAGTTAGTTGTCTGTAAGAGTTGCCACATAAAAAATTTAGTGACGTAGAGGAAAGAGAAAGAGGAGAAAGAAAGAGTTTGTGTGTAGATCTACCGACGTCTGTAGGGAAAAAAATTAGACAATAGTTTTGTTGTTGTACATCTGTAATTTCTCCTCGCAATTAGTTTTGGCCAAAAATAGACTATTTACAGATAAATCATTATATGGGTTGTCTATATTACTGTCTATGAATACCGTCATACAATAGTACATGTCCTTACTGTTGTTAGGGTGGCTATACATGGGCATATAGTTGGTATAGGTTCGCTAGATGACACCACATAGCACTGTCATGTAGTTGAACTCTCATTTCCATTAACTATTTACAAATTTTGTAGAAGCGTCGGCCGCCTCTCAAATGTGAGCAGTCCAACCCAAGTCTTAGCAAAAGATTCCCTCAAGATTATCTCTGCTCGAATGCAGTCAAAAGTGGGCTGGATGCAGTTACAGGAGATGTACGATTGGTGTGCATGGACGGTGGCAGGATGTAGCACGAGCCATGCCATGATCTATCTACAGAGTCCATGACATGCCTCTACATGCCCTAGGTCGGGGCTTACACTAGTTACTAGTACGTGGAAGGCTTACACTAGTTACTAGTACGTGGAACGTGGGAGCCTACACACACAGTAGCCACACACAACTGCTACACCCGAGTGGTGTAAACTTGTAATGCATGCACATGGATCCTGTACAAGAATTTGATTGCATTTACTTGCGCGGGCTGGACAAAAGGGTATTGATTATGTCTCTTCTTGTTTACAAGTTCTTAGTTGAGAACAATGCAAGAAGAGCAGATCATTTCACCCTAACAATGCTGGTATAACCTTTCGTAACCTCTCTGGTACAGGAAGCCATGGGGAGTTTGCATGTCAGCAGAGAATACAACTCGTTTACATGTTTTAAGTCCAAGAATTCCGACACGAATTTGGCCCCAAACATTCCAAATCAACTACTCCCTCCGTTCCGAATTACTTGTCTTAGATTTGTCTAGATACGGAGGTATCTAGCACTAAAATGAGTCTAGATACATCCGTATCTAGACAAATCCAAGACAAGTAATTTGGAACGGAGGGAGTAATACACAAGATATGGTTCAGAAAATAAGAAGACTTTACACAGAAGGGGGGCCATTATGCATCACATGTCGCCTGTACAAGAAATGCTCCAGCAATATGTAAAAAAGCATATGTATATGGCAGAAAACGGTATGATCTACTGAACAATACACAGCTTTGAAATGGATTTGTGATATATGTGTGTGAACGACGAAACAAATGGTGGGAGATACAAGCATATCACAAAAATAATAAAAATAATACAATGTCTCTGGGCCAAGTGGAAAAATTGCAAAAAAAATCTAGAAGTCCAACTCTACACAAGAGATGAAAAAAGATTTAAGGAAAAAGAATTAGCAAACAACAACAGTGGAAACGCTTAACTTGCAGCTTATAAGAATTACCATAGATACAGGATATGTATTTATATATGACAAGCTAGCAGTGTCCGCGTACCATCCGTGAAAATTTGATATCTTTACCTACTTCCAGAAGAAATTTTATACAATCCAGCTCTGGTGCTTGAGGGTCACCTTAGCCTAGCATCGCCTCCTTTGCTCCGGAATGTCGACAGGGAGAAGAATGAACGTGGTGCTGCAATTTTGGCGTGAAGATAGCTTTAGACTTTTGGCAAAGATTACCAATGACAGAACAAGAAACAATAATTATTGATAAAGATGAACAGTGGGTTATGTTCAAATTGAGCAGCTTAACATAAGAATATACTACACGTGTCAAAAAAAACATAAGAATATACTACATGTCTAGACATTTGTATACCTTTAATTGAGCTACCAGTCAGTTGATCCTCCCTCAGTCTAAAATTTGCAGGGGGGGTTGGAATGGAGCTGCGCAGCGATTGTTCTGCAAATTCAGATCTTAAGTAACCAGAATATGCAGAAAACAAATGAAGAGCAAAATAAAACAGAAACTGAAGCCTGAAAGACACGTACAGCTTAAGACTCAAAAGTCAGAAGTCTAAGCAAATATCCACTAATGTAAATGTATCATTCCCATACACAACTCTTTCAATACTGCATGCACATGATCTAGGAAGGCCCTATTTTTGGATTCTAGTTTTGGGTCCACCCATGTCACTGAGAAGCAGAACTTCATCCCATATGTCAGTATCATAAAGAAAATAGGGAGTTGAAATTGGGGAGAACATAAATGTGATCAGTGCAAAAAGGTGAGTGAACGAGGGGATTTAATATTTGTTACCAAAAAAACTGTGCTGCAAACGATACGTTCATGTCAAGAGATAGAAACAATTGATTCCAAGGTTAGTATATGTGACATGTAAAGAGAGGATATGAGCACCGTCACTTTAATTTATCTGGTTATAATACTGAATCCAACATCTGGAGTTCTTAAATAAGCTGAAGATAGTGTGAGTCAACTTGCACACAAATAGTTTGACTTCACACAAAGTGTCATTTGCTTTTATCTGGAAACATGAAGGACCCTGAAAGACACTTGTACTAAAATGAAGGCTTACCCTATTGGTTTTATTCTGATCTAAGTATGGAAAGAAGCGTTGGAAAGTATGAGTTGTTGCCAATAAAAGGTGGGTCTAGTTGTCATGGGGGACAAGCGTAATCTAGGTCATGACACTATACTTCAAATGGGTTAAAGCATACGATGCAATAAATACTCGAAGATATGATACTTGAAATAGCATGCATAGAGGATTATACAAAGAAAATACCTTGTTCAGTCAAAACCTCGTTCTCAACAAAACCATCATATGAAGAAAGATAGCCCATTCTTGACTTTCTGAAATCATCAGAGGATCCTATTGCCAGATCCCGGCCATCTTCCATATCATCGTCACATTCTGAGGCAGTTGAAGCAGAAACCCAGTCATTTACTAAACCATCACCCCTATTCTTCCTCCCAAATTTCAGCAGCTTCTTAAACCCTTTTGGGACATCTTTACGTGGCTGTTGAGATGCATTGGCACCACCAAAAGGCATCTGAGCGCTGCCCCACTTTTTTCTCATCCGGGAAACATCAGCATCTGTTATTTGATCCAGCGAATGAGAGTTCCATGGTGATGGACTGCCGGTTGGTGAATCGACAAAAGCATCACCATCCGAGGTATCATTTGCATAAGGCAATAGGTGTGGATGATGCGAGCTCCAGGGGGCTGGTAATTCACCAGGTAAATCATGCATGTTTCTTGCAAAAGCATTGAACTTGGTACTGGATGCTTCCCGTGGAAAAGAAACATCGCCATTTTCTGATCCTGGATCGTCTGAATTTCCAAAATCCTGACTCAGTTTTGGAGTCTCACTGTCTGAATCAGCAGGAAAATCACTTTCCCTGAGATTCTCTTCAATGCTTTCGTATTCTTCATCTTTGGCATCATCTGGGGAATCCTCTTGCTGATCTGGAAAATCATCATCTTCATCCTGTAAGACACTTGCAAACATTGGTTGTCGAAATCCGGTTATACCGACAACAGGGTGAGTCCCATTGTCTTTCCTAATAAACGACTTCGGTACACCAGATTTATGGGTGTTACTAGAAATTCCTGAGGGAGCACAGTTGTAAATATCCCTGTTCACTGATGAAGTGTCCCTTAATTCACTAGCATTTAAGTCTTTTCTCATAGACTGTGACCCCCTTGATTGATCTTGATTCAAAATACTCTTTGACTCTTCAATTATGCTCTTACTACGGGAAAAACCTTTTGGCTGAGCCCTTGCAGTAGCTCTGCTATGACCAGCTGATGGCTTTGTATTTTCCTTTCTGAAGTCGGAGAAATTGGGAACTGACTGTGCAAGAGGATTTTCTGGTGGGTTCCTGCGATTTGCATAACCAGGTCTTACAGCTCTTGACGAATGTTTATGACTATGGACAGGATCAATGGATTTCTTTTGTGTGTAAGCTACTTTGTTTGAAAAATGCTTCCTGGAATCAGCACTCCTGGAAGAACAATCACCAGATAGGTAGTCACTGTTCATTTCATCTTCTACCAGGAAAGAATCTGCCCCCTGGAAAAGGCAAATATAACAAATTATTAACAAGCAAAATCCACAAGTGCGCATCATTGCAAGTTGCAATATGTCAAATGATTGCAGCATTCATTCTACATCTATACTTGCTGAAAAACATACTTTCAGTACTTCGCAGAAAAACTAAACTAGCCTTTTACCTTTAGTAGAAAAAAAAACAGAGTACAGCATTTGGGGTATACGCTAGCATTACAAAATAACAGAATTTCTTAATTACTATTTTCTGTTGAAGTACAGCACTAATCCATGTAGAATCCAATACCTGATCCTTATTTCGTGAAACTGATTGTAAAGCAGATCGAGAGAATTTGGCCCGCATCTCAGCCTTGCTCCTTTCTAGACTTTCATGCATTGCCTTTAATATTGCTTCCTTCTCTTCTTTCTGCAGCTTCCAATCCTCCTTTAGTTTTGCATCCCTCTTCTGCATATATTGATCATAAAATTTTCCCCGTGACTCTTCTAGGCTAAGCATCCCAAGTTTTTCTGGTGTGCTGTTGTTATACCCTTCGTTGTCCACTATCTTCAGAAGCTCATTGGCATCAAAGTTGTTACTCTCCATCACAGTTTGCTTCATACAAATCTTCTCTGGAAGAACCTGTGTAGGCTTTACCTCACTTAACCTAGGTGTGTCATCAACCTGTGCATCTGTAGACTTTCCTCTCCTGGAAGTGGTTAGCTTGTGTGCAGCAAATAGTTTCTCCAACTCATTGGCCTTCATTTGCAGTTCATCATGCCGATCTTGATTCCCCTTCGCCAGTTTCGTCGCCCTAGTCTGCTCCAAGGGAATAGCATTTGCATCATTTACTGGTTTAACTTTACCTCCCAGCAAACTCAATTCCTGCTCAGCATTAGATGATTGTCTGCTCAAATTTGATCCCTGGCGACTAGAATAATCCGATTGAGGCAGTATTTCAGACCCAACAGCAACCTTTCTCCGCACATCCTCTACCTTCCGTGGTAGACTTTTCCGCCGCGAGCTAGCATCATGAACTTCAGATTCTGTAGAGCCAGCTTCGTCCCTACCAGATGAACCCCTAACATTAGTGCGGGAATTGGATGTGGCTTTTGATTTGAGATCGACACCACTTGACACTTTCCCAACTGATCGAAAGGATCGATCCTTCTTCACAACCGCGTCTGCTCCAGCATGCATCTCTTTTGAACGAAGGCGAGAACCTCTACTATCTTTACGTCCAATCTGTTCACTTGCAACTGGTACTTCATGAGCAACAGGAGTTATTTCCTTATCTATCTGGACATGATCCTCTGACGATGGACTAGTTAAACTACCATAATGTTTCGGGAAAGCTTCCGCCGCTGGCCTTGAAGATGTTTTTTGTCGGTTTTGAGTGGAAACATTTGAAGCAACATGCTCTGACAACCTTGTGTCACCTTGTCCTTGGTTAACTCCCTGCTCCTTGTCAAAGGATAACTCACTCTCAGTACTAGAGGCTATAGCCATGTCATCTACCGAACAAGACCCAGTCTGCTTTTCAGGAGCCTCGGTAACAATGGCTGATAATGAGGGTGGAGATGTAGTATTAAAGGTTGAGGATGAAGAAGCATTTGTAGTGGTAGAATCCTTGGACTTGTCACCATCCTTTTGACGTGACCAAGATTGAGATGTGTCTGGATTCTTCACCGCACTAGCATCCTTATCAGCTCTTACTTTTGAACTGGCCTCCAGATAGGCAGATGTTGGTGTCCCAGCTGGAGTTCCATTTTCACTTTTGTCATTACAGCCACTGTTATCATTGTTACCCAGATCAATGCTCATGTCACTGACACTGCTCCACCTCCTTACCAACTTGTCCATGGACGCAACAGAAGGCACCCTGCGGTGCTCACCTTTCACTGGAACCACCTTAGCAGTACCTGCAGAGTTGCTGTTACCAGAAGTTGAAGTTTGCTCCTTTTGCTTATTCTCAAACATGCTTATTCTATCTTGCACACTCAAACGCCTCGAAAGCTCTTTAGCAGGAGCAGGAGGAGCATCAGTTTCGTTTTCTTGTTTATCTACTGTCTGCTGGATGGTTGGCTTGGATTGCTGTTCAGCGCTCGATCCTGATGGAACATCAACTGAATGTTGGCTGTTGCCTAATCTATCGATATAAGGGACACTACCACAACTTGTAGATCTATTGCTGGATCCACCATGATCAGCCTGTGGCTCATCTATAGACATGTCTGAACTGCAGGAGTCACGAAGATCCCCATCTTCGAAGCTCTTCCAGTGTGATGAAGGTGCTGGGGGTGAATGCTGAGGATTGATGTCTGGACGACGCTGGCAAAGTGACATGTATTTGTTGCATGCTTCGCTGGATATAAGAAGTTCAAGTTGTCATATGTATCTAAACATCATTCATCAAGAAAGGCAACAAAGGACCATAATAAAACAACGACCGTGACAGAAGATACCATATCTCAATGCACAATGCTATATCATGCAGAGAATGAATTGTAAAGCTGAACTTCTCATCATGCTCGAATTAAACATGACCCACCCTCCTAATTCCTAAAGAACCTTCTCTGCAAACTTTTCCCAATTTCCAGAATGATAACTTTAGGGTGCTTGAATTATTTCCTAAACTTGAGTTCTAAAGTTTCTAAGTTTACAGCTTCCACCATCTAGCATCTCAATTTGTTAATTATGCCATATTAATCAACATAAAACTAAGTTGACGTGTATTATAATGGCATTTGATAAAAAAGATGATAAACTTTCTCTTTACAGCTGCCTGTTATTTTATATCCTCAATTAGATCTACTTGAGCACATTAGTCTACTGCTGATGGGGACTCACTTGTGCTAGATCTGTAGATCAACTTTTGGATATACCAAAATAGCTTTGTGGCTAATGGATTGTGCCTTAATGGGATATGCTTACTGGATAAGCTGTTAGCTGTAATTTTGGACTACATAACGCTCACCACCAAAACTTTCAAGTAATACCCGTGCGCATATATGATTATAAGTTTATAACTGAATTATGGGCTTGACAAGCTTCAATCATACCTCAGCCTGCTGGCACCAAAGTGGTCCGCAAAATGGAGAAGCTCAGAGACACTGTCATGGTTGAACCCTGCGGACGATGCCCGGGCACAAGACGTTACAAGGTCTTGTTTAAGTGCACTTAAACGGACATCGATTGCTCTAAGAAGCTCCTTCCTGCACAAAAATTAACCAGGGCATAAATTATGGATGGTTAAGATATTTCAGCTTGCATTAAAAGGGTGAAACTGTAAATTACTTGATATCACAACACAGTCTATGGACAACAATTATGTTCAAGTAAGATGTCTTATCTATCAAAAACTCATACCACATTGCAATGCCACATGAATGCATATCAATCATTCTAATTTAGTAAGAAGTAGATTGAGTCTTGTATATAATATATAAATAAACAAAAGTGTAAGAAAAAAATGATATCCATGGTCTTCCAGTCAATAACATTTCGTCAAACTAATAACAAGTAATCCTTACATAAGCACCATAGACCAATTAAAGGAGAGGCAGTTTGTTTCACTCAAAGCTCCCAAAAAAGGAAGGCGGAAATATAACCACGGAAAGTGCATGAGCTGTAATCACGGAATAAATATAGAATTAAACATCCAGGATAAAGGAATTAACTTCATACGGTGTTATCGTCCACAGGCTACAAACATCTGCACTCAGAATTTTTGCTAGAGGTATATAAAGCAGCTAACATGATGGGAACATCAATTCCACAATAATTATATGGAGTATAAACCACAACATGTGCAAGACTTGGCAAAAGACTAAGTTGACATGTTTCATCTCTATATTGATCTACTCAACAAAGTACAAACTACAAACTAATCGTGAATAGAACCAATTTTATCTGGCAAAGGAGGTAAATGAGATGCAATTGAAATAAGAGGTGGGCTTACTTTGTAATGTCTGCAGCTGCTGCTGAGGCTTCAGCTGACAAGCACAAAAAGAGTTTACATAAATTATATCCAGAAGCATCGCATACAGCCATACATGACTATAATAATGCCACATTTATCTAATGTGTTACCTTATTAATGGAGGTTCATGTTAATATGTGATGAATAATATAGATATAGTGGCATCAATGTATCTAGCATTAATCAATGGTCCCTAAATTCTTAATGCAAGCCAATTCAACAAGAGAGCGATCTCTTGCTCCTGGATTTTATCAGCTCCCATTGAGTAACTCCAGTTAAGATGGACTCGGTTTCCCATGATGAACGAGTGTTAATGAACTGTATGAGGTATGAAAAGACACAAGACATTAGGGCATACCAGCTGCACCCGGAGTAGCACCTACAGCAGTCTGCATAAAGAATTGCCAATTTTAGACGAATGATAAGACTATATAACATGCTGAAAGAACTGCTTGATAGTTGATACTTACTCCCTGTGCCGCGTAAATCTTCCTAGCCCCTTCTAGCTGCGACATTTCTGCATCAAATGTATTCGCCATCTCCAGCACCTCGGGCGTGCTCACGAAGCGCACGAACCTTCAAGCACAAAGGAACCAAGCAAGCACCTATCAGAATCCAATCTCTTCGACAATCGACAGACCACCGACCCGAGCACCGCCGCATAAGCCATATCAGCAAACCTCTCGAGGGTGCCCTTGCTGAACCACGCGGCGCGCCGGTCCAGCTGCAGCCGGATGGCCGGCTGCGGCGGTTGGGCCGCCGCCTGCTCCTCCGCGGCGCGCAGGTGGGTCACGAACGGCTTCACCGACCCCGACGCGATCTTCTCCGTCCGCCCACTGCCGGACACCACGAGCTCGCACCTGCGCAGACACTCAAAAGTCAGCCAGTCACCCTCAGCCCACGCGAGCCGCAACGGAAGGCCGAGACATCTCCTTCCTGGTGTCCCGCTTCCTCACCTGGAGCGGCGGGGCGAGAGCTGGAAGAGCGCGTAGTCGAGCGGCGCGTCGGGCTCCATGGCGCCGCTGCGGCCGGCGAGAGGTCGGATCTGGTGGATCGCGGACGAGACCCGCCCCACGCCCCTCCGCCTCCGACGGGGCCGCCCCCGGTAAACGCCGGGGGAGACGGCGAGCCGCGCAATGCAGCTCCCGCGGCGACGAGATCGTGCGGCGGCGGCGGCGGCCCGGATCTCGGCCGCGCGCTGCCGAATCCGATAACGTGCGCCCTACTGCGCTGTGGGGGAGGGAGAGCGGAGTGGAGGGGCAGAGGACTAGAGAGAGAGCTCTGCTGGTTTGGTGGAGCTGGAGACTGGTACTGCCCTCTCTCTCTCTCTCTCCGTGAGAAATGCGGGAGGAAAAACGGACGAAGGTGAAACCGGAAACTTCCGGGGGCGTTTGGGGGAGATTACCGGTCTTAATCCGGAGTTTTGGCGGAGCTTAGGCGTGATTAAGAGAGATTACGAGAGATTGTTGCTTTTGTTTTCATTTTCCTTTTTCTATTATCCTTTTTTTTTTGCTTTATTATGCGGCGCTGGCTGGCTTTTCGGGATAACAACGGCTTTGAGTGGACTGTTGGTGTGGATCTGACCGATTTGCCCCTCAACAGAAAACGAAACTGGGGGAGTCGCTCTGTTTTTGAATTTTGGAGGAGGGATTTTTCGAAAAGGATCACTCTCATTGCTGCTGACAGGATGATGGTGGGTGTGTTGCTTTTATCATAATTATTGAAAATGTACTGCAAGTACCATTTTTTCCTGTTTTGTCAATTTGCAATCCCAATCACCACCAATCTTCGCGCGGCAACTGGAAATAAACGTTATTTCCTACCAATATCTTTCGGGTCAGCGAGTCAGTAGTACGATATGGTCATGTTGTTTTTTTTATATTCTTTTTTGCATGAAAACTAGTACTGCGATGTAGCCAGCCATGATGAAATCGTTTGGTTGCAGCAAGGGCAATGAAAGATTTGCTACATAAGTTTGGTCTACGTTTACATATCTTGATTTTCTGATTAATTGCTGCATTACGCATTTTGGCGTTGATATATTAGTTTGGTTTAGGTTTACGTATCTTGATTTGTGATTAGTTGCTGCATTACGCATTTCGCGTTGATTACAAGTAGTTTGGTTTACGTTTACATATCTTGATTTTTGATTAGTTGCTGCATTACGCATTGCGCGTTGATGCACGGGTTGGAGTTCACTTTTTGAACGCCCATGCTATGCCTAGGGCGCGACTCGCAAGGGGTATTATTGGTTCGGCACAGTGAACAGTGGTTAAGCGCCTCGATATTTCTAGTCTATTCGTTCTATAGGATCAGGGAGCCTCGAGAGGTCAAGAGCTCGACAAGGACATCTCTTTATATATATAGAAAGGATTTATCATTAATTTATGCAGCTCTCAGATGGCGTCTGTCTAGTTATAGCACGGCATTATTATAGTCATGCATGCATAGCTGATACAAATAAATGAGGAAGAACCAGCTCCCGATTTTCCTTTTATATCTTCTCATCATTTTACCTAAGCTGATCTTTCAAGCATTATTTTAGCCCAAACTAGATGTGAAAACGATCTACTCTAGGTCTAAATGTTCACCGACATCTTCCTTGCTACTGAAAAATGAGTGGGCCAAGAAAAGAAAATCACATGCAAACTGTACGGTATCTCAAATAACAAAGATATGAGCAGGAGATTATCAAATCGAGGTAATACCAACTCAACGTGTTGCAATTCACCATTTTGCGATGAAAACAACTCGAGAATTGATAGATTTGCAAGCAGTGCCTTGTCTACAACAATAAGCATCCGACTTTATGCATTAGCAAGACCAGAGTATATCACGAAGGATAGTATCAAGTTGGCCGAGACTTTTTCGAAACACTCAGAAGAAAAGTGTACGCTTTGTTTCTCTCACCTCGCGAGCACTCACCAAAAGCCCGGGTATGCTTTAAGTATAAGTAATTATGTGTTCAAAAAAATATAAGTAACTATGTTTTTCCAGGGGTCAACAGTAGAGCAAATTATCTACATATAAACATTTAAATATGCATCATTAGATATATCATAGACATATTTTCATGTTTAATAGATACAAGATGCCCCAATTTTTCAATGAGATGGTATCACTTCCTTTGTCAATTTGTAATCCCAACCACCAATCTTGGTGCAACAACTGGAAATAATCGCTACTAACATATCTTTCAGCGCCAACAAGTCACTATGATGTGACGTGAGGCACAGATCTCGTTCTCTCCTCCGACCTCTCTCCTCCGAGGCGGCGGCGCCGCGCCGCCCCCGGGGAGTCACCGTCCACATCGCCCTCAGCCCTCCCCCTCCATCGCCTCCCACTACCGCCGCCGTCGTTGAGGACGCCGCGGGGCGAAGCCCCTGTGGTGAGGCGGCCGTGGCGGCGCAGTCCTCGACCGGCGGTAACGCGTGGGGGCAGCGGCGTCCATCTCCCTCCTCCTCCAACGACAGTGCGCAGTGAAGGAAATATGCCCTAGAGGCAATAATAAAGTTGTTATTTATATTTCCTTATATCATGATAAATGTTTATTATTTATGCTAGAATTGTATTAACCGGAAACTTAGTATATGTATGAATACATAGACAAAATATAGTCTCTACTCCTAATGTCTGAGTTGGTTGAATAGTATCCACGGTTTATTTTCGTCCCACCACTTTCAACCGGGTTTTTTCGCTGTTTTTTTCATCTCCGCTCCCACCACGCCACCGATTTATTTTTTCTTCACTATTTCCTTATAAACAAACACTTTCCTACCGTACAAAAAGTCACAGATCTTACTTTCCTAACTTACCCAATCAACCGATCCATCTCATCAATGCAATTTTGCTTTAGGAAACAAATAATGAATTTTAAGAAAACAAATAACGGACTTTAAGAAAACAAATCCAATTTACTAATCTTCTTTCTACTCCTTCCTACGCCGTTTGTTCGTATCCACCCTCCTTTTCCGCCCTGAATGATTTTTCCTTCCACGCATTTATTTTATCCAATTATACTTGTTTTCTTCCGTAAAGGAGTAGGTAAAGATTAGTTTGGAATAAAAAAGCCCTCGAGTTGGTCACCTATTCATTGGAGAAAACACTCATATTCACCGATCTGCTACTACTAATTTTACCCCTCTTGCGCCGCATGCACTGCCCCTTTCCCCACCTCGACCTCGTCGCCGACGACGCGATGCCGGAGGACATCGAGATGAACGACTCCGCCCAGGTCGCCCTTGCCGCCGCTCCTTTGGCCACCGACGCGCCCACGCCCGCGCCCGCTCTCTCCACCCTGCAGCATGAGTAGCCCGTCCCTCTCGCCCCCCAGCCCCCCCCCATCCCCCAAAATCCTAGCTCAGCTTCCGGCGTCGTGGGCGCTCAGCGGGCGGTAGCTCATGTGTGTTTGCCTCGCCATGCCTGCAGATCTGAAGGAGATCGCATCCATGGTCGAGGCGGGGTCGCTGACCAAGGAGGTCCGCCTGATCTCCCCGCCGTCCGCCTCACCGTCGCCCCCCGCCGCTGCATCGCCGCCCCCGACGTCGTGGCCTTCCTTGCCTTCGCGCTGCCCCCTTCCTCCGAGGCCTTCACCCGCCTCTCCCCGCTCCTCCCCAAGGTATTTTTTTCTGCCAGCAACTTTAGAGCTCTCGTGATTTGTAATAAACACGCAATTATGCCTGACTCTGATGACAACGTCAAGGACATGAGCATCTAATGCTATGTTTGTTAATCTACATGTGTTACATGTGTCTTGGCTGCCGATTGACATGGTGCATCGTTCTGGATTTATAGGCCTTTTAGAAGTAAATGGGAACTCATAATCTAGGCCATTGTAGTAGAGTAACCCTATGTGGTGATGCAATCCGAGCCTTTAGATTTTCTAATTCAGTTCCACTGTTGAAGTTCGCGACAAAGCAGGTTCCTTCTGTTTTGACGATTAATTGGTAATTGACAGTCTTGGGTATCTCGTGTTATGTATGACTTTAGATCGTTCTGGATTACCTGGCTTATTAGAATTCATAATCTAGATCATTGCTGCAACCACAAAGCAACTGTTATCGTATGGTGATGCAGTACGAGCCTAGAGTAATTCCATATTTTGCAATTGAGTTTCACTATTGAACTTTATGTCGAACCAGGTTCCTTATGTTCTGATGCTTAATTGGTAATTGGCAATCTCATGCTTGGGTGCGTACGGGATTAGAACTTGCTTCTGTTTAATTCTGTACACGTCAATATTTTGAAACTGGAGTATTATCTTGCTCAGAGGTGATCGATATTCATACGGCGTTACCTCTTGTATGAAGATGGTAGTGAGATGAATGTTGATGCTGCAGCTCTAGCGGCTCAAGTTTCAATCAAGCATGGACTCCCGGAGATTGAAATATACTGCTACCTGCTTGTGTTGATTTTCCTTACAGATCACAAGAAATATGATGAGGTACGTCCAAGAATTTCCTCCACTGTGTCATCATTAGTGAAACATACCAATTTGATGGTCTCTTCATGTTAAAGCATGTGCAAACGCTAGCATTACTCGTTTGAAGAATCTCAACAGGAGGACTGTTGATGTTTTGGCTTCTAGGCTGTATTCATATTACTCATATGTCCATGAACTCACCAACAGCCTTGCTAAAATTTGTGGGTGAGTTATTATATCATAATTAATCTCTACTCCTAATGTCTCAGTTGATAGAATAGTCTCCATGTTTTTTTTTCATCCTATCACTTTCGTCCGGGTTTTTTCGTTCCCTCCCCCACCCCCACGCACGCACCCAAAAAAACACCCCGAACCACCGCTCCTCTCGATCGTCTCCCGTCTCCACCCGTCGCCCGCTGCCCTCGTATTTGAGGAGATGTGTGCGGACGATCACGTGTTGCAGCGGACGTTCAACTGCTACATGTGCTCGACGGCGGCCGTCGTGTCATCGGGTACGTACGTCCTTATACAACTTCTTTTGCACGAGTTCTACTCGCTTCTTGCGCATGTGCCCTGCCTGACTAACTTGCACT